ATACTATTTAATTTGGGCAAACAGTACTTAAATTTTTCAGATCATACAAAATATGAAAAAAATTAGAAACCTTACTAATACTGTCTTATTTTCAAATGGACCTCATAGTTACAAACAAGTTTCACTAGATAAATAAAACTGACAGCAAAAAGAAAACAACACAGGAAAATAATTTTCATTAGTTCAAATGACACTAACCAGGGCTACCTGCAGTAAAAACCTAACTTCTTTAAATTCCAAAATGAATCTCCTCTCCTGACCTTTATAGAGCTCAAGATGCATACGTACACAGAATAAACAAAATAATTTGAAAGCAAACTCACTGAGTGCACCTGACCTTTGAAACAGCACAGATAATTTTAATCAGATTTGCACAATGTTAGTCTGTCTCAGGTTCCATGTAGCAACAAAGATGACAAAACTATACTTAAAGGGAAGACAACATTTTACCAAAATAAAACCATCTTTAAATATTTTTTGAAATAACCCTAAGAGTCTCAGGTTCAGGAAAGATTCCTCTGAAATTCTACTCCCTCAATATCCTGCTAAGCTGCACAATGCAGCTCTAGGAGAAAAGCCCTTTCTGCCAGTTATGCAGTTTCTGTCTCAGTTAAGAGCTGACATCTGAAAGAAAAAAAAGTAATTTACACAAACATTTTAAAAATCAGGTTTTGTAGGAGTGGCCTACAGTTGCATCCTTGATCACCCAGCATAGAGTAGGCTGCTTAAAGATTCTCAGATACATTGATTATGTAAGATTTTTCAGACATAACAAGTAAAAAATATCATGATCTGCAGCATAAATAACCTGACAAGCAGTGCTGACTAGTAAAAACTCCCGTTACAAGGAACAGAAGTACTCCAAAATATTCACAAATGAGCCCTCGCTGAAACCAGCTGACAGCACCTTCCTTGCTGGAAGGGCAGATGCTGCAACAGGAGTTACCAACCATTTATCAGCCACCAAAGGTGATCATTGCTTGCAACATTTGGAAAAACAAAGAAAGAAGCCTTATAATTTATGCAAGCTCCAAAACAGGTCAATGCCAGTGGCTGTATTACTTATGCCTCATGAAATGGGAACAATTAGCAAGGGGAGCTGAAAGCCCTGCTTAGATTCAGAATGTGCAACCTCCACGTTGCCGAAAGCCAGCACGAGCTGAGGTGGGATCATGGACAAGGCAGTTTCCGGAGCAGCATTCCTTCATCCCCGTGGCACTGACTCATTCCCTGAACTCGCTGTAGGCCAGCCAACCCTTTTAGATTATGGCAACAGTCACATCCCTCTTCTGCCACGCTGTGTTGGACTTTTTCTCTCTCCTCTGCTCACAGAGAATTTCAGAGCTTGTCAACAAGCCACAGCTATCTGGTATCCTCATCTTTTCCTATTAAGGAGTTTAATTTATTCAGCTTATCGGGAAGGTTGAGAAGGGAGCTGATCACTGGGTACAGTCTGGGAGTGCAGAGCATCCTGACCTTGCGTGCACAGTCCCACAGGCCCTGGCCCTTGGCAGGGAGTCACACCTGGCACAACAGGGGTTTTCTTACAACACTGGCAAATATTATGGGTGATTGCATCATTCAGTCCCAACACACAACACAGAACTAGAGAGGGTGTGGGTCTTATCATAAACACAAAACACTCCCTAAATAATGTAGAATGATTATATCTTTTCTAATGCTGCCTTCCTATTCATAGTTTCAATATAGGAAGAATGTTCACATACATGATCAAAAACTAACATTACACTAAAAAATAAAGGAAAAAACAACTGTCAAACACAGAGTAAACATTCTTTCTACTTCCATATTTTCTTTCCTAATTTTAAAACAATTGTCTACATCCTTAGGCACAAAAAAAACTTTAAAAAAAACCTATTTCCTAAGCAAGTAATTTTCATTTATTTGACTACTCCTATAAAAAGTATCTATACTAAAATGCACTGTTTTGTCCAGCCTTCAAGTACCTCAAATTGTATCCTAAGAGTCTTTGCACTGTGTTGCTTAAACATCCAACCACCACTAACTCTTTCCTGATCTAAATCATGCAACCACTTGTATCCTCTTAGATAACAACTGAAAAAAAAAAAAACAACAAAATCCTGATTTTTGTTACAACATTGCAGAAAAGTAACTATTCCCCACAACTATTTACTATCCACACTGAACAGCTTAATTGCCACAGTCCCACTGCCAAGAATACTCTTCTAATTCAGCACTTAGCAGGACAACTTACAATAAATAAATTTATAATAACTCCTTATCTAAATAATATTAATATTTCTTTATAGCTATTATAGAAATAATAATATTTGTAGTTTTTAATAAGCAAATGACACCAGTCTGTAATGATAACTGAACCAAAGGTATTAGTTGATAATAGTTCACAGCAACACACAAAGAGGCACAATTGTTCACCAAACAGTAACACCACTGCAGTTTAAATACAACTTCTATAAAGGCCTGCAGGACAATGGAGGCTGAAGTCCAGGGTCATAACATTTTCTATTGAAATACTGGGTAGATTATTAGCTCTTCATTTGAGATGTGCTCATCTGCATTTTGGGTTTTTTCCACAAATATGTCAAGTTAACCATGTTTTAGACAAGACTACGCATTTTCTTCAGCAAAACATCTGCCTCATCAAAAATAAGACTGAAGAGACTCACAAAGCTCAGATTTAGGCAAGCTCCCTTCTGTCTTTCCCCCAGCTCCTTCTAATATTGAATGTTTTAGAGCCAAATTCCAACTGAAAACTTTCTGCAATGAACAAATTTCTGCTATTCTGAAATAGGATTCATCACAACCATATAATTCTTAAATATTTAATAACACAACACGCACTAAGAAGAGACTGAAAGCCTGAAATCATTAGGAGATGTCCCAGCACAGGAAATAAAAAGGAGACACAGACTTCTCTGCAAGTGTAATTTCAAAGTCCTTTCACAGAGGGATCTAAAGACTGTCAGCTTGGTTGATCTGCTACTGTATATTAAATAAGCCTGTAATGAAGCTACTGGTTTTGATTCATTGAAATGCCAAAAAGGTCATGGACAAAGTATATAAAATTAATGATTTTTTTTTTTTTGGAAGGGGAATATCAAGAAGGTAGTAAGTCAGGTAAAGCATCAAAACAGGCAAAATACTGACAACAGAAAACAACAAAATCTAGCACCACTTCATTTTAGTGATCATTTAGAAAAATAATAATGCATTAATGCCATTTAAAATCTATTTACAAACCCAAAGCCACTATGAAATACTTCCTATCCATTCAGGGAATCATTATATTGTTTTTACTAACAGAACACTGATGCCAGATACAAGCTGAATGCAAATTTGAGCCTTTTATGTTACCTAGTGCTTTCTAACAGTCCTTCATTATCTCTTAGTTCTCAGTTAAAACTTGTGCACAAATCCAGCAAAACAGTTTAGAAAGTACTTAATTTTCAGTATTTGCATAATAACCCTGACTGGGACAATAACATGAATCCTTATTGCCAAATGTCAGCACTATGCCAATTTAAAGACTTATTCTTTAACATTTCAGAAATAATTCTGGAAAACAAATTAAATGACATATAAAAACTACTCCAAAAAGTCAGTGTGCAATGACTTCTAAACAACAAAACACCTGCCAAGGCCAACACCTACCAGACCCATCAGATTTTTAGGAACTTAACACTTTGCTAAATCTTTGCAAATGCTAATGCTAAAAAACATTTATGTTCAGAAGAATTAATAGAAATGTTTTTGACTATTCATGCAGTAAATCACAGTATTATTTTGATAAAGTAACAGGCAGCACTGCAGTGCCAGTACAGAAACTCTGTACTTTGGAGTACCTAGAGATGTGAAGCTGACAAATGCAGCTGATTTTGGTTGCATTACAACGCAAATCTGATGAGTTACCCTGGGAATATTCAATATTGCAGTGCAAATCAATGAGAGGAAAAGCATACATTCTCAATAAAATAGAAAGGTTTATTTACATCACAATTAGATAGTTTTCTTTAGTGCTGTCTCAAAGGTTAAAACCAGCTCTTTTGCCAAGACCTGTTTACAATTTTTCAGGTTTACTGCAAGAATAGCCACATCACTTCTAAATAGAGCAGGCCTTTAGAAGTACTTTATAAATTTGAAAAAATCTACTGCAATTTTACATGTTTGAGAATTTGCATTTGTTTTTGAAGAACCAGATTTTGCACGACCCAAACCTCTCGACTATCCAGGGATCCTCTTGTTTCTCATGGCACAAAGGAATATAACCCTCTATCCCCAAAGGAAATACAGTTTACAGCATACCTGGGTTTTTAACATAGGAAAACCACATATTAGCCATCTGCTATGTGAGATCTGCCCAAAGTCCTACATTTTGCCCATCTATTGACTGTTGACCATTAGAATATGCCTGACCTTTCCAAGTTCCTTCTAAGAAGACACAGAAAGCAATAATTACCAGGGGCTTATGGCCATGATAATCTATTTGATTTTCAGCAAATACCAGTGTTTAATTCTGCTATGGAGTTGCATGTTGATAATTATTCTAAGTGAATCCTACACTTTGGGTTCTTTTTTTAATGTGACAGGATTGTGGTTTTCTGAGCAGTTTCAGTAAGAATGAAGGAAACTGTTACTCCTCTGGAGAAGACAAGACTACCAAAGGCATTACTGCTCAAAAGCTTTCACTTAGGTAAAGACAACTCAGTATTCTAAATCTCTACAACATAGCCACCTTTTCTGTGCTGTGTTATGTATAAAGCAAGAATAAACTATAATCCAGGGCTTGCTGCCTGAAGAGTGGCACCAGGGCCAGCAAACATACACCACTATTTATACAGCTACTTGTACTCCCAAGCTCGTCCCTTTTTTCACAGGAGTCAGTGCTCTAATCTACTTTTACCTGGAGTATTTTTAAATGTTCATTCTGTACACCTTGGTCTTCATTACAAATATTTGCAAGGAAAACATGTCACTTGAAAGGTACAGTGGAACACTACCTTGCCTGTCTTCTGCTCCAGGGAAGTTGAAACTGGAAACTTAAACAGAGCAACTGGCAGGAGCAAGCTGAAGTAATCCAAGATCTGGAAAAGCAAATAAGAGTGGAAAGGTCCAGTATCAGCAGCTGATTTTAACAAGCATAAAGTATTAACAAAGGAAAACTGAGTTTGCAAATAGTATTAGCTGGTTTGCCTATTCTTTATTAAAACCTGCTTTTTTTTTTGAACTCTACTTGGTCTGTGACAACACTCTATATATAAGAACTAAGACAGGAGGAAAAAGAAATTTCTAATCACTTGCAGTAAAAAGGAGTCTGGTCAACAAAGCTCATCCTTATAAATGTCAATAATGCACTGTCCACAATTATAATTAGATTGCTGCAAGATGTGCCTCCAGAATACTGGTTTACCTTTATTTGAATTGCTGTGCTTGTCAAGCTCTTTTCAACACCACCTTAGCCCTAAGTTTAACTAAAGAATTAAGGATGATTCCTTAATGTTCCTTTTGCCAATCAAAGCAAAATCTCTGGCTGAGTATAAATAGCAATTCCATTGAAATGCAGCTAACAAATCACCTGATTACTGTCCAGATCCTTGAAATCCAGCCCAGTGATATGCACTCGTGATGGAATATCAACATAATAGCAAAAGATGAACATAATTAAAGCTGAGTATCCATGAAAACAAACATGAAGTTTGCAATATTTATCTCCTGTACCTCGCCTGAAAACAGGGCAAACAAGTAAAATAGAAAATCGACCATTAATACATTGTGCTGTGTAGCTCAAGGGCTTCTTACGTTAATGGTTTCAACTTCTGAGGGTGGAGTTGTATTTTTCAAAATAATGAAGTCCAAGGCACTCAAACCCAGTCTTTTCTTCATTGTTACCTCAACCATCTGCAGGAACCTTTCTGAACACCTGCTCCTCTCTGCGGGTAACCTCAGCCTCCCTCTCTGACACATGTCCCTGAGGGACCACAGTCTCTTCAGCCTCCATTTAGGGTCCTTTTATGGGATGGGATTCCCCTCACAGTCTAAGCACCAGGAGAGGAAAGCTCTTTGTAACAGCTCTCCAATCTGTTCCTTGTAGGAATACAGTTAACATACTGTCTTGACATTTAAGGAAGGGGAGGAGGAATTAGTCTTAATTAAGGGGTTCTGCAGAAACTCTTTTTAACAGCTGAGTCACTGATTGGCTTCTGAGAAAATGAGCAACATTTACTTGCACAGTCACCACCAAGACTGAATCAACACAGAAAGGGAGGGGTTAGTCACAAAAAGGACTAGATCCAGCTTAAAGATACAACAAAAGCACATGAATCATGTTCAACTAACCCAGGTTTCATTTTCACTAGTAAAGCTTTCTAAATGCTGATTATGAAGCTGCTTCTCGTACAACCCAATTTTATCCTTCGTATGTGTGCTCATTTTTACATGAAGAGGTAACTACTTCACAACAAAAACTTACAAACACTCCAGAGTGAAAGGTTTCCAATTCTGACATTGGGTATTCACGATGGATACTCAGAATTACCCTGTAGCTTTAGGGATAATCGTATTTCCTTCATATAAACTCAAGCATCCAAAAGAACCTAGCACACATTTTAGCACCAAATAAAACAAAACCAGATTTGGTTAGGTTTTAGGCCTTAAAAAAAAATAAATAAATTTAAAAAATCAAAAGAAAACCAGAACAAGCAAACAAAAAAATCCAATTACATACACATTTTAACTCTGCACTTGGAAAACATGAGTTATAAACTACAAGGATGCACAAAGAACACATTGTGCCAAACATATCTAACAGTTTTATTTGATAAATTACTGGTATAGTAGAGAAAGACAAGAAGAATGAACATAATTTATTAAGACCTTCTTTAAAGCGTCCATTTTCCCCTAGAGCTTATGGAAATAGCAAAGCAACAAAAACATGAAGCCCAGCAAGAATAATTTAAATGTAAGTGAAGAAGCCACAGGAAGGCAAACAAGACATTTAAGGTATTATTTTAAAAAGGAGAAAATATGGATTATACTGCCCAACTGAAGTTTCACTTAGAACTAATTAATCTTAATGCACAAAATGAAACATTGACTACACAGCAACAAAATATTTGGAAATAATCAATTTGCATTTTGCAATCAGTCTCATGTTAGAATCTGAGCTATAGAAGTCAACAACAGTTTTCTTGCAGGCTTAATATATCAGCATTTGGGCCCCTGTAGTAAACATGGCCAATTTGTCTGAAGCTGTTTATACACACACTAATGACATTCTATACATAAATCAGATGACACAGTTGAAAAGTGACAGTATTTTTAACTCTTGCAGAAATAGACAAAATTATAAATACATGAAATAATATAAATAAATGTAATTGACATAAATGAAGCTGCAGATGCTGGAGAAGAAAGAATGACGTATAAAACTGAATAATTCAATTTACTGCAAATTCACAAAAGGATTCATGTGACAGACAACAAAATGAATGAGAGGATTATACATTGTAACTACAAAAAGGCAAATCCTATAAAGTACGTACACAGTTGTAATATGCACGACAAGTGGATAATCTCATGCTCAACATTAAGTTACATGAGTTGACCCAAGCCATTGTTTTCCATAGCATCTCTATATCCTCCAGTTTTCCCAACATGTAAAAATATTAACTAAGTCACTAGCAAAGCCAATGGAAAACGCAAACATACAAGTCAAAGGTTGTCAAACTAAAATATTTGACTATTACTACAGGCTTTCTGTAACACACTCTTCTCATTGCACTCAGACTGAGACATAAACCATAACAAAGGTAACAAATTATAAGAAACTGAAAAAAAAACCTGAAAAATGGACTCAAAAAAGTTTAATAAATAAATTAAAAAAGCACAAGAATTTCTTTTCTGCACACAGAATGTAACTTTTAAAGACAGGAATTGTACTCTGCTGTCATTCAAAGATTTAAACTACTCAGAATGTCTAAAAATGCATTTGAAGGGAAATGTGAAAGCAGGTTATGAAATCAGAGGGCCTGCTATTTATTGGAGATAAGAGACATCTTGTCCTGAGGAAAAAGGAAAAACATTTAGCGGCACTTTTCCATTAGACATTTCAGTGATTCAATTTAAAACTAAGATCTTAGCACACGCTCTGGAATGTCTTACTTGAATCATCAACATCCAGCATTTGAAAACTAAATACCCAGAAAGCTGCAAACCGCTTACAATTGACATATCGTGTGCACATATTCTTCGAACTGAACTTTGCATATTCCTGTTTTTAAGTGTCAAATCATTAACGATTTTTAATGACATTAAAGCCCACAAAAATAATTTGAGCCTAAGCTGTGTTTCCTGTCTCAAAAGCAACTTTCACCTGAGCATCGCTGAGCTCACAATTTAGGTTTCAGCCTCGAACTAAGAATAAGTGGAGTATTTTTTTTGGGGGGGGGTGAAGAGGGCAGGTGTTTTTTAGTTCTTTAGTTCTGGAATTTATTAATTTCTGAAGTGACTTGTGAAAGATCTGCGATATGAATCTGTTCCTTGAACACGTGGTATCCTTGGAAAAACACAGCTACCTCTGCCCTGCCTATGGCGTTCTCACCCAGCCTACCCACGTTCAGCTCAAATCCTTTAGGAACTGGTATGAGAGCACCTGATCCATCACTTGGGACAAAGCGCGTAAAGTACCAATAACGATTTTAAGCGTTAGTGCCTTATACATTAAACTTAAACATAACTCTGCGATCCAAACGTAGGCTGGTCATTGCAATGACTGCCTTGGTTTTGCTGGGATTTGCTGTAGTACCCTGTATTTCTGGATTTGCTGTATTTCTGCCCAGACCGAGGGTCCCTGCCCGCACACCGAGCGAGAGGAGGCGGGCAAGGGGTCCCACCAAATAAAACACTTCAATTAGTGCGAAACGTTCCCGTGGGGCGGTCAATACCCAAATGGGAGGGAGGGGAGGATGGAGGGGCAGCGAGGCGACCCCGGACCCGCCCGGGGCGGCGGGCGCGGAGGGCACAGGGAGCGGCACGGCCGCAGGGAGCGGGGGCAGCGCAGGCACAGCGCTCCGCTCCCGGCTCTCCTCAGCGCCCGCTCCTCCCGCCGGGAAGCTCGGCAGAGAGGGGAGGGAAGGGGAGGGGGAAAGCAGCAAAATGGAGACTTACGCTCCCGCAGTGACGCGCATGCGCAGCGCCGCCTATGGCAGCGCGGGGCGGGCGGTGCTCCCTCGTCCCGCCCGCCCTCACCAGCCCTCGCCCGCCCTCACCAGGTCTCACCCTCCCTCAGCCGCCCCCGCCGGCACGGGCAGGGCGGTGCTGCCGGCCGGGAGTGTCCCGCCGTGAGGGGAGCGGCTCCTTGGCCACGGTGGCCGACCCTCCGGTGACAGCCCTCCCTCCACGGGCAAGGTACAGCTGGGGAGCGGAGGAGGAGCGCACCTGGGGCTGTGCCGTGGCCGGCAGGGCGAAGTCTCACAAATTGAGCCTCACAGATTGTGTGGACCTGGCATCGCAAGAGGTCACAGGATTACAAATAGGGAAAGTAATGTCGCGGTGTGTGTCCCGTGTTTGTGCTGCTGCCCAGGTGTCTGGTTTGGACCACACTGGAGGCGAGAGTTGTAACATCCCCGATAGTTTTACGTTCCTCTGACGTGGCTTTAATTTTTGGTTCCGTGTAGCGCCGTGAGACTCCCCCGCCCCGTGCCGCCGTGCGGGCAGCGCTGATGACCCCGTTGATCTCCCTGGCACAGACAGGGGTGTTGGAGCTCCTCGGTTCGGTGTCGGACTCACACAGGGCGCTCTGAAGCACCGGCTCCTTCCAGAGCAGCACGTCCAGCACCATCATCAGCTTCTGCCTTCGAGTATTTCTCCGTCCACCGCTTTCCTAAAGGAAAAAAAGCGTAGTTAGTACCTTGCTTTTGCTAGGTTGGACTGAGCTTTTGTAGTGAAGACAAGGTCTTATAGAAGAAAGCCAGATTTCTGATGGGCCTTTGATGTGTAGAGAGTTCATTTTTCAGCCAGGTACCCAAGAAAGCTCTCTTAAATAGCTACTTTTATGTATATACACTGTAGAGGAATTAAGTTGCTGAACATCACTTTTATTCCAGTGCTTCAGGCAATCAGAGATGCTGGGCTCAAGCCCAAACCTTGAACTTTATTTTATATTCTAAAGAAAATTAGTATGAAAGACAGGTTTGATGTATTTGCTGGAGCTGGTACCATTAAGAAGTGATGCAAGGCACTTCTACTGCCGTGTGAATGAGCACTGCCACAAATAATGACCAATAGTGCAAGTGTCATAACTTACCCTGTACACACATATTGAAGACATTGTTGTCACCAACTCATGAATGTGGTATCAAGTATCATTATTACTTAATGCCAACAGAGAGCCAAGACTGCCTTTTTATGCCACTGCTGTGAGTAATGCCTAGGTATCTGTACTCCCATACAGCAAAGTCCCCAGCCTAATCCCAAAAATCACTCCATGCTGAAGTGACAGAATCAATTCTCCCTGCTGTTACACATTTTGTTAGCCCTTTGTGACACTGCACAGCGACAGGTCCCTTGAGACTGTTATCTGCAGAGCTCCCCCAGATATGTCCCTTTTACGGTCCATACACCTGTCTTCTAGGATTAGGCAACCGAGAATCCAGCAGTGGCTGCTCTTCCTATATCCACTTGATCCTGAGAAACATACTGAGCACTCACTTTGTTTACAGAAGAAAACACAGTGTGTACAATTCCCATATCTAGTGAAGTATTTTGCCATCAAAGGGTCACCTTATTTCTCAATTATTATCTTCTGCAGTTACACCCTGAATGGCAGACAGACCTTTGCCTCAAGTTACCGAGTCACTGCAAATGCTAATTTCAGTGTAATAATTTTTCACTCTCTTTATGTTCCTGAAGTCCTAGCATGAAGTCCTACTGGTTTTAATGACACTACAGTTGCCCATTGGTTTTATTACCTTGCACTGATTTGGTAGTTTTCCTGATGTCTTATTGAACTCACTGAACTGAGTTAATAAATAACAGTACAGCAGGCAACTACCAGTGACTCCATTTCCCAAAACTGACTCCATTTGTCATAAGGAACATGAAAACAGTAAAGTCTGTGTCTTGGCTTCAACAGCCTAATCTGCATCACCTTTCTTTCTTTGAGTTATCTGACTTTTCAGCTCATCCCACCCTGTAGGGATCATACTTTTCCCTCCCTGACATGCTTTACTGCCATAAGTTGTTAAGGAGACCATATCACTTGTAAAAGCAAAGACCATCAGACAGTTCTCCAAATCAAGGGACACTGTGTGAGATGATGTGCCCATCACACCCTGATGAAAATACACTCATGTATGCTTTTATGTGTGTTATCCCTTGTTTACTCAGTATTTTAAACTACTATACAAAAACGTTGCCTCTTTTGAGGTTGGTGGGCAAAGATAAGAATTTAAGACTGTTTTGTTATTCCAGGGCCACGCTCGTGATTCCATGAAAACAAGCACTGTACTGGGGTATATGCTGGAAAAGTAGAGATTTCAGTAAAGCAGCACATCAGAAAATCCGCTTAAATATGTCAGAAAGTTTTAAAACCAACCAAAAAAAACAAAGAACCAAAAAAAAAAAAAAAAAAAAAACCAAACCGTGAACCCTGACTGTTATTTAACAGTGTTGAAAACAAACTGCAAATTCTAATCTCTTTGAATAGCTCTAGACATAATTCTCCACTTCTAACTTTGCAACCCCTGTCTGTAACCAGAGATTATGTGTTACATAAATACTTACAACTGCTAAGATTTGTAAGAAACGTGGGAAGAGGTAGGCTACTGCTACAGCAAAAGCCTTGGCTTACAAAAATACAGCTTTAATATTCTCTTATTAACAGAGAAAAACAAATACAATCCATAAGCAGAAGTGAAGTGTGTTTCTAGATAATCTGCTTCTAACATTCAGCTGAGCATGAAATCTCTTGAAGAAAAGCCTGGTAGGGATCCCAGGAAAACATTCTTTTAGGTCACTGCTGCTTATTTGTTTGATGGGGTACTTCACTTTGTTCCTTTATACTGAGCTGCTTTATATTTGTGTAGTAACAAATTTTTCCTCCCTTTAATCCTCAGCAGGAGCACAAATCTTTAATATCTTGTCTTTGCCAATGTCAGAGTTTCAGTAAGTAAAGTCTTCATAGAAGGTGTTTAACCTCCAAAGTGATATAGGAAAGTCTGTCTGCCTCTGTGATGGATTGGAATTGTATTTATTTTTCAGTGAATTCTCTGGTTTCCAATATGAAACTATCTTAAATTATCTTAAATTACAAGTCTCAGAGCTGTGATGTTACACAGCATGTATTTTCAAACATTCTTCTGCCTTTTGCCTTAATATTTGTTGTGTATCCAAGAAGTAGGAACATAGTGGTTCTGAAGAAGTAAAAATGGTATTAGTGAATCAGAAGCTGGCAGTTTTGTCATGTAACAAGGAGATTCTTCTCATAGTCTGTTTCTGGGTTCTAAAACTTGAAGTGTGTTTCTTTCTTCTTTCTATGTGAAATGATATTCACAACCCTCAAGATTCTGTGAGAAGAGACCTTCACAAAAGGAACCCATGAGAAAAGCAACAAAGCATCATAGGACTTTCTAAAGAAATTTTCACTGTTTTCTTTCTTTGGTATTCAATTCTAAAGCTATCTTTTGTTGGTTTTATTTAGATGGGATACAGAGATTATATTGTGTTGGATTACTGCTATTTTAGGGAGTCTGGGCCTGAAGGACTCGTAGGATATCACTCCCATGGCTGCTTCTTTGTTACTGTGATTCAGGTGTCCTCTCACTAAGTATTTTCTTCAAGCCACAATGTATTATCCACTGGCAAACTCACCAACTACTTCTTTAAGACTGATTGGCCGTTTTTTCTAACTTGCTCTTAGTCATCTCTCTTTTCTCAAAACCGGGAAGAATATTCATGGGTTTGGCAGAGTAACAACGACCCTGCATCGAACCAAAGCAGCCCTTCTGTGCAGCCAGTCATTAATTCCTCTCTGCTAGCTTGTCATCACCAGATGTCTGCTGAGTTCACACCCTCTGCATTTCCCATGACTGCACCCACAAGGCATCCACGAATGGTTCTGTATTTTCAATGTGAGCACCACATCCTTTTTTTGAACGTTCCTCTTCGCTACCTGAGCAACTGCAGCTGCTCCACAGAACTGCAGCCTCTCTTTAGGTTACATGTCATACCTCTCTCCCAAGTGAATGAATCTACAAACAGCAGAAGAGTATAATTTGCTTTTACTTTAAGAGTTTCAGCACTTGTGTTTTGGAAAGTGGGCTTCGCACGGAAAGTAATGAGAAACGTTAGATATCCAACACAGAAAAATATTTCCAGGTTTATATCGCCAAGTAAACCACAAAATGGGTTTGTTTGCCATAAGAAGCACTGGCCATGAAGTCTCTCTCTGCCCATAATGAAGCATATCTGAAGGAGGACTCACAGCTACATCTAAGCATGAGAAGTGTGGGCACATTTCCCTGTGGAAATGGCACTCACTGAACCTGCTCACCAGCAGTAGGTGCAATTAACTCTGTCCAATTTACATTTGGAGCACGAGGGACAAGCTTTCACAGCACGCCTAATGCAGCAAACACAACGAGCTGGGCTTTGTGAACACAGTGCACAGTTTCTCAGTTCAATGGGGAACTTTACAAAATGTATGTGCAAGGTATAATTACAGCATGTCACAAATAAACTTTCGAAAGGATAATTGAAACAACACTCATATCTTGAAAAAAGGAACTGGTTAATTGATGCAGGTTCATAGACATATGTCATAGCACACAATACAATTAATAAAATATAAACACCAATTTTCAAATCAACACAGCTTGATAACTTGAATTCAAATTTTAGGAACAGCAAAACAGCTAAAAAACACCATAAAGTAAGCCCAATCCTTCAGCTGACTAGTAAATATGAAGGAAAAAAAATTGGAAACCATTAATATTTTTCTAACTCCTTAGGGGTCTGTCTTTCATGTTTTTTTCATGCTCTCTGTGGCCACTGAGACTAGTAGGAAACCAGCCAATTTAGTCAAAAAACTTTGCAGCATAGCAGGGAGTCTCATTTGTCATCACATGCAATAGCAGCTGTCTCTGTCAAGAATGAAGTTAATCAGTACAGACCACATAAATTAGGAAATTCTTTAGATGTTAACAATGTACCTTTGAACGAACAAAGACCAGTCTTTGTCTCCCGATACTGGGAAATTTCTCTTTCAAATATGCCAGTTTTGTGGTTTGAAACTAAGGAGCAATGAAATTCCTTAATGTATTTTTTACACAAGTATTTCTGGCAACTGAAGATACTCAGTGCACACAAGGGACACTAAATGTTCTAATTGTAAGAGCTATATCCAGACTCAGATTTTTTTCACCTTTCTTCACCTTCTTCCATTCTATTCTTAATTATTTCATATTGTTGACTAAGTTTCTAATCTAGGTCAAATTTGAGAATTGCAAGAAACAAAGAGTATAAAACCTTGGGAGTATGTTTCTTCATGTTAAAAAGCCCTGAAATACACTATTTTGAGTTAATATGCTGAACATGTAGCAAATAAATCTCTAAAGATACTCAACTTCATGAAATTTTGCACCCTCCTCAACTTTGGCACTAAGTAAAACAGTTTGTGTGCCATTCAGGAAGACAGAATTTTCTTCTTAAAAATTCATTCCATACAGCCTTGAGAACATTTAGGACCCTTCTAACCCCAAGTATTTTCAGTTTGCACAACGCCTCTAGCCTAAAAACACAAATTGGTGATATGTTTAAAATCATCCAAGGAACATAAATGAAGGAAGAAAGAGCTTTATGCCTCTTTTCTTTACCACCACCTCTGTATGTTTATTATGGAATTTCTATGTAAAGCAGGTAACCCAGCAGAAAAAAACTGACCTGGTCTGTAAAATATGAGAGTTGCCTGTTTAGAACTCTGGCCTACAGCCATAAAAATTTGTTTAGTTATCTCACAGTTATGTCACATACTCCTTCCTCAAAAGATCAGGGCTAGATTAATTTGGTACTGTTAAAATATGTGCTATGGGAAAAGATGAGCTGACGTATCAGCCTTCAATTTTGAGAAGAAGGGATATCTCAGAGGGCTGACTGGTTCATGATTGCAAGAATGATCTAGGAGTGGGGTAAAAAAGGCCAGTGCTGATGCACCAGCTTAAGGGAAAGCCCCACATTTGTTTATATTATTAAATGACCTTACTATTGGTATAACTCTGTTTATGTTGCAATCATAAGGTGGTGGGAAAGGACACACTCACAGGTATCTGATGCACAGATACTGAGGGCATGCTGGGTTCTCAGAATGCTGCTTACCTGAGCTGACAGAGGGCCTTTTCCAAGGATACCATGTGATGAACACCCTCAATGACTTTTAGAGGATGATACATGGAATACCAGTGTGAAAGGCAGAAAAGCAAACTGGTTTGTGCATAAAGACTTCAGTATTTACCTCACTCTTCCGATCACTGTTCGTTACCTCTTTCTGAAAACAGCAGTGAAGATTTTCACTTTGTTTCAGGTTTTATTTTCATTCTTTCTGCAATTCTTGAAAAAAAAACAAGATGGTATATGTTGCCTGTTTAACTAAAGGAGCAACGAAAACCTTAAGCAAGATCATTTTGATATAAAAAGAACTGGATCTTTATCACAAAAAAGAGCACAAGGAAACTTTCATGTACTACAGAAAACTCAACCTTCAAAATCTGCTAGGCAGTTTTGTGAGGAACCACAGCAACTAAAACACATATTACAATAATTAAATATAAAAGTAAGGGTTGAGCATCACATATGTTATCTACAAAAGTTGTTAGACAATAGATGGGAATGTTAATGCAAAGAATATTCATGTTGTGCTGCTATCAAGGGCATACATCAAAGTGGAGTGCTTTTTTGCAGAATCAAGGGAAAATGACTGTTGTTTTGGCACACAGTATGACATGGCACGTCAAAAGAAATTATAAAATGTTTTCAAGATGTACTGAGTATATCACTTATAAAGTATTGTGTTTACTAGGAAGGAAGAAACAAAAGGCAGAAGAGTTGGAGGATCCTCACAGCCCTTGAAGCAGCCTAGGTAAGCATGGTTACAACTTTTGGGCTTTTGCAAGCTAGGCCTAGTCTTCCAGACAAGCTCTGTGTGAGCAGTATGGCACATAGGGATTTAGAGAACCTACATAAAATTTAAAATTTCTTATTTGAAGTGATTCCATTTTGAGAAGCTTAAAATTATCTTTTCCTCCTGAAGATTCCATAAGATGTTGATTTAGAGCTCCATTTTATGTAGAAGAATGCTCTAAATTTCTCTCGTAAGCATCTCACTGGAAATAAAGCCGTTCATAGGTTAGCTCAAATATATTTTAAATTGGTTGATGGACTAACATTGAAGGACTAAGTATAGCTATGGATTCACTTCCCGTGAGTGATTTTTATAAAATTTCCATATGTCAGTGACACAATGTCATTTAAGGACCTTTTTTCTAAATCACATAAAACCGATTTAAATCAGTTACTGTTTTTAATCAAATTCTGCTGCCCCAACTTAGAGCTTGTCCTTTGAATCCATAAATTACCTGAAGGAAATTTACCTTGAGTATGATAAAGTATTGACAAACACGTAACTCATCCTCTGACAATTCTTGGTGCTTGTGAAAGACGTTCATGGTGAAAGCAGCTGTGCCAGCAGCTCCTTCGGTGCAGTTACAATCTTACTCAACAAGACCACAAAAAACTGAGAAAGCTGAACAGTTTCCACGCTCCTGATAACTTACATATTTCATGTTTTCCTCTTTATGCTCTATTTTGAGTAAGTAAGGGACATTCCAATATTTTTAGATTCCTTTTTTGTTTGCTTTCTCTGGTGATTGCTTTTAGCAGGTGAGTGAGGAGCTTTGAAAGTGACTGTAGGTTTCATAAACTGTGTATGCACGTGCCTCTGGGAGCACCTCTGCAGTCAGCAAAGAAAAGGTGCTGGAAAACACAGGAACAAGTTTCAAACAGTACTAAAATACTCTCTCATAGTAATTTTTATTACAGCATATTCTGACCTTTTAAGTCATAAGGAACTGATATTATTACTGTACTTTTGGTAAATGGGAATCATCAAACTACTGTTCCTCAAGATCATTCTGAACAGCTGCAAGGACAGTTGCCTCTCTGGGGCTGCTGGTGGGGATGAAGGAGGGCACAGAGTAGTCTCTCCCTGGTCCCACCTCATGCTGTCTATGCCAGATAAGGCACTGTCCAACTGGGAGCTGGCTCTATAATCCCTATAACTGCTGGGAGGGAAGAGGGAGCCTCCACAATGGAATTGCTGCAGTACAGATACACAGTACAAATTCAAACTTAGTATAGGCTGAATTCTGCAAGAGGAAACTTCACACCAGGTGTCAGAATTGTGTTTTGGACATTAAGAAACTTGGGTTTGGTCCCATTTCTTAACCAATATAAATCACAAATATGACTTGGAGAACTCTTTATTTGGCGTCTGTAGCCAAACAGTTTTCTCAGCTCCTGTTCAGAGTGTGTTAAAATTATTACTGTAAGCATTAACTGGATAACTTAGCTACAGTCTGATAGTCATGTGTTGGCTAGTTGCTTCGATGTCAATATGCTTTTTGTTTGCTGACATTATTTTAGTATTAGCAATAGTTTGGGTAATATGTCTTCTTGTTTATATTTGGGAGTATTAATAAAGCACGTAAGACCTGTCTTACAGTTCTTTCAATAAGAAGCCCATGAAGTTTTGAATAGATGTTCCCTGACTAACATAAGACCATGACCAGTTTTCTCTGTTAGCCTGTGGCTCTCACACCTGGATTAATCTTGGAATGTAGTCAGCAAGTAGGAAGGCAGTAGCAGAAGAAGGATGGCCCTGTGCAAAGACTGACAAAAATTCACAGCACTCAATGTCACAGTCTCAGCACAGTCTTGTCACTTTATTCCCACTTATATCACTCCTTTGGGGAAAGGAAAGGATTTCAAACTGGGGTGTCAGTAAAAGTGCCACTACTGCTGGTTGGACAGAGGGAGAATCTAAAGGTATCTGGGTTTATTGATGGTTCACAGTAATAAACTGTTGGCTGCCACTCTGCTTTCACCTTCATCAGTACTCTGTGACTGTGTCTTCTCTGTGCTCCCTAGCAAGTGTTCAGAGAGCTGACCAACTGAGACTAAACTTCGGAAAATACAAGCTGCATGAATGAATCAAAAGCTACATTGCTAAATTCCAGGGGAAGACCAAGATATTTGAGGTTTAAAATCAGTCCTTTACAAGCCTCCCAACTGGATTCATTATGAAGTCGCTCATCTTCTAGATGGAACATAATAATTCAACAGAGAAATTCACAGGCTTTTAAATGGTTGTTTTGCTTTCATACTTTTTTTTTGTGAAAAAGATTAGAGTACAAAGCAAAACTGTATCGCTATCACAAGAAACTTCTAAGCAAAACAAAATTAACATGAGAAGCAAGTAGAGCATTACAGAGAAAAATGGTGCTACTCAAGAAACAGATAGTACTATTAAGATCGTTTAGTTGGCAAGACAGAAAGCCTGGACTGATTGCCAGCAGAATGGCAACAGAAACATTCAGAAAAATTCCAGTCTCACAAACATTAGGCCACATGGGAACATTTAAATGCAGTGCAGTTTGCTTCCCTAAAGAAGCGATGGGAAAAAAGTGTTTCTTTTATTTTCGCAGAGGAGAATTTTATATTTGGTAGAGGAGAATGAATATAAGCTACAGGCAGAATTTTAATCTAGACTGGCATTCCACTCAGGCAGGGAGTAGGCAGAAAGGCTTGTCTTAGCTGATGTATTTTGTGGTTGCTGTAAGATGGGGTAGGATTCTCCAGTCCTGGCTCGTTCCTCGCTCAGTGTCTGGAATGCACAGGTACAGGGAGCCTCTCTCTGCTTGGAAGCGAAGCAGCGTGTGCTTCGATCTGGTAGCATAATTCACTGCTGGCATGAGAATAGGATATAGATAATGGCATATCTAGAAACTCAGTAACAGACTATTTCAGCTGGAAGCTGCAGTGTTTGAAGGAGTGCAGCCCCATCCTTGGACACTGAGGAGAAATCATAGCCAAGTTCTTGTACTGTAAAAGAAAGTTGCTGAGTTTTTTTCCTAATACCTTCTTTCTCATTTCTACCTTTTGCTGTGGTCTGTCTCCACAGGGAGCAGGATCTAGCTCTGGCAGCACTAAAATTTTTATGTGATGTTTAATAAATGGGTCTTGGTTTCAGTCTCTTTTCCATAAGATGTCATTTGAATTTTAATATATTTAGCACAACATATAAAGCCTATCCCTGTGCAGGTATTTTACCTGTTACAAAAACTGCAGACATTCCACTTGACTTCTGTGAAGGATTATACCTGAAGAATACTAAGATACATAAATATTTGCACAATGACATGAACTTAAGCTGTGCAGGACAAACTTTGCCTAGTCAAACAGAATCTGATGAAAAATTTTTAGATTTAGAGAAAGTTCATATATTTTTACCCCATCTTCAGAAAAACAAGCCGGTGAAAAAGATACCACTAGAGTCTGAGGGATAAATTGGACCTGAATTTTCACATTTATGTTTTTTAGATTTGTTTTGTACTTAGAATACGAGGAAGCCTATTAGAGTACGTATTGCAACTTTAGAAAATCACTTGTCTCTGAAATATCCAAAATGGTCACTCATGACTCAGAAAAGCCTGAGGAATTTAATGCAGAAAGGTGATTTTCATAACCTTACATGACAGGAAGCACGTTGCATGCAGGATCTCTTGTAATGAGCTGGGCACAGCACCTCAAGTGCAAGGAGGGCTTTAACTTTGAAGTCTATACTCTATGTTTCTGTAATCAAACATGAAAAGTATTAAATTCAATATCAATTCAATATCAAACATAAATAATCAAAATCAGTTAAATTCAATATCAAACATAAGTAGTATTAAATATCAGAGAGCTGGCAGGTCACAGTAATGCATTGCCACACTAGAGACAGTCATGATGGTAAAGCTGCACAACAGTGGAAAAGCAGTGGGGATTCAGTTCATTTCTCATGTGTGTTTATTTGTTATTGGTGGGGAACATATTTGTTGATTTACTTGAATAATGCTGCCATTTTGCAATAGGCCATTAGTAAACATTTAGGGATCTTCATTTTATATATAGTTGGGCCCAGTAATCAATCTGTTTATTACTTTAATTATTCTTGCTACAAAAAGGCTTTTATATACTTAAGAAAGAAGATAAACAAATTGGAAAGTGTCCTGCTGGCACACCAACATTTGGGAAAGGATACAGACAGTACATCCTTAGACATTTATATTTATTTCCATACTACAAACTGCTAAGATACTTTATTCTATGCAAACACTGGCAAGAGATCAATATAAGCAAAATGATCCCGGATGAGCAGCTCCAGCTCATTGTTTATGGCCATTTCTCATGCAACTGCCAGGTTTAGCTGTTGAACAATTGCTGGTGTTCCTGACTGGAAAGTATCAGTTACTTTTCCCGTGAAGGATCTCGCAAGCGAGGAGTAAGTGACAGTGGAAAATTGTCTACTATGATGATATAAACGATATAAAAAATCATGGGGTCGAGGATAAATCTTTTATTCATAACCATAATTTTCATGCTATTGCATCTCTATTTATCAGCCTCCATAGCATGTCACTTCTCCCATCCATTCTTTTGGCACTGCAGCCAGTAAGATGGATACTCAAGATCTCTATCCAAACATGCATTTTCTAGAACATGAGGTAAAACCAGATGGAATCTGAATTACAAAAGTACAGTAATCACAATGCATATTAATAACCTGTAAAAGTAGACTGAGTCTTTGAAATGTAGTTTACATATAGTCTTTGTATGTAGTGTCTGAAGGTCTTGTTTTATTTATTATTATTGATTCTGTGTGAAATAGTTAAGATAGCTTTTACAATCAAAAAGATACAGCTGGAGCTGTGATATTTACAACAAACTTTGGCTTTAGTATATTTAATATAGTGCCTGTTTTTTCCATGTTAACCTTAACTTTTAAGAAATTCAAAAACTCGGTGTCTCTTGAGTTGTCAA